TTATGCAGTGGATGCCCTTCCAGACGTTACCCATCTCTGGGAAACATCCACAAACATTCATTCACACAATTTAGCCTACCCAATTCACCTGTACTACATGTCTTTGGACTGTGGGGGTAACCAGAGCACCTGTAGGAAACTCAGGGAGAATATACAAACTCCACACAGAAATGCCAACTGAGCCAAGGATCGAACCAACAACCCAGCAACCTTCTTGCTGTGAGGCAACAGCACTACCTAGTTATAATATTTAATTTTTACATTTTTTACTTAATAATTTTTAATGTCATATATTTTTAAGAGGTGGGTCATTAGCCCAATGCTCAACCCCCAACCTGAAGGACTAGAAAATACAGCACATACATACACTATATTGTAATATTTTATCAATATCACATGTCTTTGGACTTTTGGGGTGAAACCGAAGCACCCGGAGGAAACCTACGTGAACACGGGAGAACATGCAAAATCCACACAGAACCAAGCCGGGGCTTGAGTTAGCAACCTTCTTGCTGTGAGGCGACCCATTGCTCCACCGTGCCGCCTACCTGGCAAGAGTCTAGAATTTTTTATTTATTTATGTATTTATTTATTTATTTATTTCACAAAGCTGAAAACATCTATTTCAGAGATAACTTTAATATAGCAGGGAACTAATTGCATGATATTGCCAAAAAAAGTTTAATTACATAAAACCAACCCTATGGAGGCAGAGAGCTATAACCTTTAACTAGCATAATGATTGACACATAAATAGGAGGATTTCAGAGAATATGCTATATATGGGAATTTGTGGCAGGAGGAAGTAAATTAGTGCATTCAGCATAAATTGCATTCAACAGTTCAACAGACAAAAGAGGTTGATGTGGATTGCAGAGCACAGGAGATGCAAAAAAAAAAAAAAAAAAAAAGTTCATTCAACACATACTGCAGGGTTTTATCATGCTCACCTATTCACCAGGGTCCATTAACAGCACGCATCAACAAAACAATACCAATCTAAACAACCACACTTTTGCATAGCTCTTCTCTACATATATAAAATGTATTCTCATTTTGACTGAAGCTTTCAGGGTCGAAACAGAACTGGCTTTTCTATTTTATCACATAGTGCCAGAGATCTGGAATATCCACACTAATGCAATTGACATTTTGAGTCATTAAATATGAAATCCAGAGTATTAATATGGTCTAGTAATAGAACAAAGTTAAACAAAACTCTCATTAAAGCAGACGTGTGTGATATATGTTTTGTTTACTCCGCTGTGACTGCAGCATTCCTTGACAACTTGGTGTTCAAGGTTGGCAAAAAAAATATTTATTCTCTAGCCTCTTGTGGTTTAAAAATCAGTTACAGTCTTGTTGTTGCTGTTGTTTTTCTTTGTGAAGGTGGGGATGTAGGGATTTGGGGAGAAGAGCTCCCACTGTATCGATATAAAACCAATGCAAATTAATTCATCATTTAAAATAAAAAGAGAGGCATGTTCACATTTTAACCCTTGTGCAGCCTTTGAATTTTTTATTTTCAGCTTGGCAGAAGTGACCAGCCTTGACTAAACCTCTAAAATAAAGCAGCAAAATTTTATTTTAATTCTCACATCTATTTTGCATGAAAAAATAACTTCAATATTCATCACAAACCCTGTGAATGTTTAGATTTTCCCTTGTCAGTGTGCTATATTTCATATATATTTAATCAGACGGCACCGCTTGTTTTATTAAAATTTTAAGTGAAGGTTTATAAGTAAAGGTAAAAAAAGGTTTATGTTTTTTAACGCTAAAGGTACCTACATAGGTGTAAAAACTTTTTAGCAAAACAGAATTCATAAAAGTTAAAGCAGCAGATTTTTATAGTGAGCGAGTTTTGGAGTGTACATGTGCGTTCCTGCAGTATTTGGCTCGTTTAACACTGTCAGGTCATCATGCCCAATTCTGATTTGTTTCCTACTGTATATCGGATTTTTTTTTTTTGCCTTTCTGTTTACACGTTCTTTTAATTGTGACCCATACCTGATTAATGTGTTTACACTTGCTATACAATTTATGAAGCCGCAAATACACAAAGGCGGGTTCTAGTATCTGCGCCACACAAGCCACAATGGAAGTAATTGTCTTGCTTTTAGCTCTGCTAAATATAAGTTCGCCCAACTTTAAAATGATTTTGAGGTCAGAGGAGAAGGGAAAGGGCCATCTTCGCAGCTTGCGTCTATGGTTTATATATGGTGTCCTCCACCACTCAGAGAAGTATGTGGGTATGAGACTCAGTTCTGGTGGGAGCAAATTGTGGCAACTGACCACTTTCCTTCTCCATGTTTCGTTTGTTGTTGTTGTTTACAACGGCATCTCCACACGCTTTTCCTTCTACATCATTAAATCGTGGAGGAGTACCACATTGTCACAAGTTTAATGACACACAAAATGGAATGCCTCAATAAATTCGATCTGCTTGTTTACTTGATAGTCACATTATCACATATTTCCACATATGAAGGAGATCCTGAAACTGACCTCTGAATATCCGAATGCATGCGTTTTTTTTTTTTTTTCTCCTGTGTTTACACGGTTATAGAACAGATTCAATCTGTGTCACAAATGAGCAAAACTAACTGACAGTGTAAACGAGACCTTTGTGGTGTAAATCTGACTTTAAAGCTAAGGGGTCAAAATTGACCCTAAAGACAAACATTGTACTCTAGCCTTTCTGATAATATAAACATTGAAAATGCTTATTTTATTCTAATGTTATGTAAAGTCATTTAAAAAAAAAGGGATCAAACTTCCAGATAAAAAAACAACAACAACATATATATGATTTATTTTTTCTGCTGTTAAAATGGTTAAAGATTATTTCTATTACTATGTAAAAGGAAAGTGACACAGCTACTGTAGAAGCTTCTGTGTCTAAATAGATCTCTGTCACTGACTCAATAGTACCTATGCAAGCTGAGACACGCAATTCTCAGACATGCAATCTCAGACACAATGTATCCGATGAAGCTAGTGCCATCACTGAGAGGAGTACTGTAGGGTTTGCGGCGGGGTTAGGTTTGCACATTAAAAACATTGCATGCAGCTTAGCTTGCATATGTCTGAGAATGTATTGTGTTCTTCATTTCAGAGTGCATTAATGCTTGCATATTCATCTACCTCTTCATTTTTACATGCAATCTGATCACTTTTATTTTATACATACAATATAATCTACATTTTCTCTAATCATCTTTGTGTTTTGTACCTGTTAGACCCAAAAGTTCTGTATCTTAATCTGAATAGGCTAGAGCTTAACTTATCATAACTGTGCGTTCTCGCTGAAGGCGACGTGAGCGTCAAAGTTCACTCTGGTCACCCTGGTGACAACGTTGTCTATTCAAAACTTCGGTAGCAAGAGCGTCTTGTATTTAAAGGGGCCATTGCAGCATATTACATTTCAGTATTTAAAAGATGTGCTTTTTTCTAGCGTGATAATGTTGCATGCCTTTTATCAAATTCATTTAACTATGGAAGATTAAGTTATTGCGTGTGGTGTGGCTTTGCTCCACTAATCCAATATGTCCATATCTGTCTGAGATATTCTGAAGAAGCAATACTGTTTTGTAAAATAACATTAATGCACATCAGTAACTTGCCAGTAACTTTTAAATGTGTGTCCCTGTAAGAAAACATCATAAGAAAGTGGAAATCCAGCAACCGCAATATTCAAACTTTTGGGAAAAACTGTGGTCGGAACCAACGTTCACAAGACTGTGTTCTCTGGAATCCTCTCAAGCAGTGGACTTCTACATTCTGATTGCTTGCTGCTGAACCGTGTCATAGCTCATTACCATAAAGTTATTTCAACTCTCTTTGCCGCCCACATTGCCGAAGACGTGCCTCGCCGCTGGCTCTCATTCAAAATGAATAACTTCTGGCTTTGACACTCTCACCACCTTCGTTGTAAACGCACAGTAATACAACTAAAACCTGGATTGCTGTAAATACTTTCCAATGGTGAAGGAAGTGTTAATATGCTAGAATAAAATGGGTTTTCGAAGCCATGCACATTTATATTTTATAAGCATTTCTATAAACAGGTTAAATTTTTTTATTCAATTTCCATGCAGATTAATATGCAAAAAACATGCTAGTGCATGCCAAAACAACAGGTGGCGATAAAACCCTATGCATAAAGCCACATTGGCCAATCAGAACCCTGCAAAAGTTGATCTGCGCAAAATCTGATGTCAAACAAGGGAGGAAACAGTGAGCACATTAACGTCAGGAGGCAAGAATGACCACAGAACAACACTGTAAGGACAGGTTTTTAAAATCTTCAATTTGGCAGGATTTTTCAAAATGTTTTGTTTTCAGTTACCTGGCGCTGTATTTGCATATAGATGAACAAGCAACCCACATAGAAAAACATGGTAGGGCCTTAAAAAGACAGGGCCTTAGTTGAGTCTACTTACCATACAGGCAAAAGTTCACTTCAACAATGAATGGTATCAGTGGATTTAAATTAAGGCACACAAAAATAAAAATAAAGGAAAAAATGTCAAAATCTATAAGACAATTTGCTTCAGATTGGGTTCTTTAAAGAAGCTTAACTTCCTTCTGCCATGTGTTCACCCATTTAGAAAACATTGCATGCTGACTCATGCTGGTTTGACAAAGTTTCAACAGTAATGCTAACCATTGGATTTTTTTGCAGTAGTTCGTTGTAAAACTAGTAATTATGTCCCTCAGACAAATCTTACTTTTTATGTATAGTTTGCAGGAATCAAACACCAAGTACCATTGTGATGATCAACAAGTCAAAAATAAAATCAACATAGGCTCATTGTAAAAATGTACCCCTGTATACATTTCTGGAGAGCGCAAATTATGCAGCCAGAGCTATTAAAAGAATGCTAAGGGGTGGTATGATGTCACTGCTGGCTTCTGTTTCTTTTTGCACTATGACCGCTTAACTCCATGTGTATGGCTATTTCGCTGTTACCAGTTTAGCTCACCATGTACCTCGGTGGACTTGAGACGCAGAAAGGAGTTGACCACATTGATGCAGTTTGAGTCGGGTGATGAAGGTTTCCAGAAAGCTGGTAAAAAGGAACAAAAAAAGAAATAAGTAAATAATAAGGGTGAGAACATTGTAATATATGAAAACAAGTTAAAAATCAGACGGCTGCGAGGGCTCTTCTATTTCAGGACTGCTTTAAAAACAGTAAGCTGGGTTTAGGGCAGGGGGTTATTGGGCCAATTAGTGTTTTTGAAAACACTATTAGTTGGGTTTAGGGAAGGGGTTGGTTGGGGAACGGTTGGTCGGTCAGTCAGTCGACAGTGGCCTCTGGTGGATTTAAACAAGAACACCAGGCCTGAATGGCACTTATGAGTAAAATTTGAGATCTGAAAATGTGTAAACAGCAGCCTGTGGTGAATTCACAAAAACTGCAGAGAACGAAGCTCCTGGGACGAATTTCGCAATCTCCAGAAATGTATGGGGTACTTATCAGTAATGAGCCTGGGTTAAATGTAATGGTTCAGCTCACATGTGAGTTTGTGCCTGCACATATGTGATGACAAGAAAGGAAGTTTATGCTCCATATGGGTTGTTGAGGCTGTGATTTAAAGTTAATAATGTGGTAAATTGTGCAGATTTTCTTGCACAGACCAACAGCAGTCATGTTTTTTTATTGATTCAAATGTGACAGTGACAATTACCTTGCATTTAATGAATCACAGAGAACATGTTTTTTTAAAAAGTGTATGCTCATACTGTAGTTATCTTCCTTGTTGCGAATGGGCCCAAGTCATCAAGCGACCTCCAAGGGAGTTTACTAAGGCTTTCCAGTGGGCCCTAGTTCGTTTTTTAAATAAACCCTACAGGGCGGTATGAGACTGCAGATGGCCTCTGTTTCTTTTTGCACTATGATCGCTTAACTCCATGTGGATGGATTTTTCGCTATTACCAGTTTGCCCAGTAGCTAGCCATGTACATAGGCGGACTTGACATGCAGAGTTGACGGGGTTCAAGTCCTGTGATGAACGCTTCCAGAAAGCAGGTAAAAAAAAATCAAATAAAAAAAAGGGCAAAAAATAAAATAAACAAGTAAATAACAGGGTGAGAACATGGTAAGATCAAAAAACGTGTTAAAAATCAGGAGGCTTTCTTTGGATTGCTTTGGAAAAATGTCAGTTGGCCATTGTTTTTAGTGATTCAAAAGTGCCAGTGACCATTGTCTTACATTTCATGAATCACAAAGGACATGTTTTTTTTTTTTTAATTGCATTTATTGGCTTACTGAATAAAAAGTCAACTCTTATATGACATATATGTCTTCAATACCGTAAGGCTGAGAAAAAAGAAAAAGAAAAGAAAACACTTTCTCTTTAAGAAAAATGAAACATGTAGAGATGAATTGTGCACATTAAACAGACAGAATGAATTATCATTTTATTTTAATTCTTATTCTAATTCTTATAATTTTAATTATATTCTTTCGTATATAAAATAAATGCTACTGGGCGGTTTGACACTATGACACTGTATGACTCTATTTCCCCTTCGGGTGGGGAACTTCAATGCTATCAGTGGATTTTAATCCACGAATGGGGATTTTGTTTCAGAAAGCCAGAGTTGGCAGCGTAAGCTTGCGCACCTATAGCTTATTGTCAATTAGCTCTGCATATAAGTACAGGGAAAGCAAGGAAATGCCATCCTTTTCACTTCAGAGACTATTACAGCCTTCTAAGAGAGTCGATGAGGGTTCTTCCTGCCGTGATCCAGCGATTTCGAGCAAACGAGAGCGTTCTCCCGGTCCAGAGTGTGTACTCGCAGCGGCAGACGGTTGAGCTGGGTTTCTCCCTTGCCTGGCGTTCTTTGGGTCTGGTCCTCCAGAGCGTATAAAGTTGCAACTTCACAAAAAGAGCAACGTCCTTTTCAGGATGGCGCTCCGACCGTGCGTTTCTGGATGCGGTGGTTTCCTATCCCCGGATGATGGGCACGAGCACTGCGTTGCATGTCTGGGGGTCCAACATGTTAATGCGGTGCTTGCGGGCTGTTCATGTCGTCATTGCGATGCCATGACTGTTGCGCAGTTAAGATCGCGGCTAGCCTTTGAAAAAGGGCGAACCACCCCAAATGTCCCCTGCACTGCAGCGGGCACTCGGGCAGATCTGAGGGTTCCAGTGGGAGATAATCCATCGCCTCCGGGCCCGTGGACACCCGCTCCTCCAAACGCTCCATCAAAGCTTCAACGGAGGAAGCAATCTGTCTATACAGATAATAGCCCTTACGTTCGATGACACCGGGGACCAGACATCCACTGCTGCATTGGAGGGTGGGCTTTCATTGTCCTACGGGAATCCAGGCCCGCTCGCCCGCCTCGGGCAGGTGAGCACTGTCAAAACGGATCTTGAAACGGACATATTAGCCGTGCTTTCCTGGCCTGCTTCGCTGAGGGTTGGAGATGGTTTATCCCCCAGCTCCTCGGCTGGACCGACTAGATTGGTGCTGCGTAGAGGACCAGAGTGCTAAGCCTTCGAAGCCTCTCGTCCCCTTCTTCCCGGAGGTGCACAGTAGGCTCACTCAGTCTTGGAGGGCACTTTTTTCTGCCCATGCTGCTTGTCCCTCCGCCCTCACCACTCTTGACAGTGGAGCAGCCAGAGGGTATGAGGCAATTTCTCAGGTCGAGCGCGCGATTACGGTCAATCTTTGTCCGCGTGGCGCCTCTTCTTGGCAGGGTTTGCCTCGTCTTCCGTCCAAAGCCAGTAAGTTATCTGCCTCCCTCGGAGCTAGAGTTTACCAGGCTGCGGGCCAGGCTGCTTCCGCCTTGCACGCGATGGCTACCTACCAGCGCTTCCAAGTGCAGGCGCTGGCCGAGCTGCACGAGGGTGGGTCCAACCCAGGCTTGTGAGCTTCGCACCGCATCCGACTATGCTCTTCGAACTACTAGGTCTGTTGCATGTGCGTTGGGGAGGACGATATGCACATTAGTGGTCCAGGAGCGCCACCTCGGGCTAAACTTGGCTAATATGCGTGAAGTCGACAGTCCGCTTCATTTGGAGAAGAGAGAACTTGCTCTTTCCCCGCTGGAGGGCGGGGCCCCATTTCCAACGGCACTTTTTACTGCCATGAAAACATCAATGAAAGAGCACTTTTCCACTTCCCCGGATGTGACAGCCCGAAATCTGCCAGTCTGGGACGCTATGCTTCTAGCTCGCAGGTCCGGTGCATTTTGCCAGTGGCTCAGGAGCGCTGGGAGGACAGTCTCCTTTTTCCAACCCCTCGAGCCTGCCCTCCGGAGTTTAGGTGCAGAGTGAGAACAAATCTCTCACCTCCAGCTCTTCTGCGGGACCCTCGCGCTTCCCGGATCAGCACACTCACTCTGCGCTGCCCCACTGCTGGTACGTCAGCGATTGTAGCGATGATTCCATTAGCGAGAGCTCTTCCTACCTGGTTGGCGCGGCCAGCCCTTTGCGGTGGCTCATACGCACATTCAGACTCGGCTATGCGATTCAGTTTGTAAAACGGCCACCCAAGTTCACGGGTGTGTATTCACCAGGGTCAGCCCCCTGTCCGCCCCGGTCTTGCGAGAGGAGATTGCTGTCCTCCTGGCGAAGGATGCAATCGAGCCAGTCCCTCCAGCCGAGATGGAGAGCAGGTTTTACAGCCCGCACTTCATCGTGCCCAAAAATAGCGGTGGGTCACGACCAATCCTAGATCTGCGCATTTTAAACCGCTGTCTGCACAAGCTACCGTTCAGAATGCTCACGCAGAAGCGCATCCTCCGGTGCATTCGTCCTCTAGATTGGTTTGCAGCAATAGACCTGAAGGACGCGTATTTCCATGTTTCCATTCTTACTTGCCACCATCAGTTTCTGCCGTTTGTGTTTGAAGGTCGAGCTTGGCAATACAAAGCCCTCCCCTTTGGGCTCTCTCTGTCTCCGCGGGTCCTCACCAAGCTCGCGGAGGGTGCCTTAGTGCTCCTTTGGCTCGCGCGCATCCCCATACTTAATTATCTCGACAACTGGCTGACTTTAGCCCACTCTCGGAGCAATTGATTATGCAGAGACAAGGTGATCTGGTACCTCCACCTGTCGGGGTTTCAGGTCAACTGAGAAAAGAGCAAATGCGCCCCTGTGCAGAGGATCTCTTTTCTCGGGCTGGAACTGGACTCGGTCACCATGGTAGCGCGGCTCTCCGTCTGAGAGAGCTCGACAGCAAAATAGTGGTCCCACTGAAATTATTTCAGAGGCTCCTGGGGCATATGGCATCCGCAGCTGCTTCACGCCGCTCGGATTACTCCATATGAGACCACTCCAGCACTGGCTTACGATCGAGTCCCCAGACGCGCATGGCACGCACGCGCACACTGAGTCTCTGCTACTGCGCTGTCGCCGCGCCCTCAGCCGTTGGAACGACCCCTCGTTCCTACAGGCCGGAGTGCCTCTAGGACAGGCGTCCAGTCATGTTGTTGTTTTAACAGATGCTTCCAGCACAGGCTGGGGGGCTGTGCGTTGCAGGCATGCAGCTGCAGGCTTATGGAATGTAACGCAGATGCATTGGCATATCGCCTGGAACTGGTTGCAGTGTTCCTCGCTCTCCACCGTTTTTTTCCGGTGCTGGAGCAGCAACACGTGCTGGTCAGGACGGACAGCACGGCGGCGGTGGCGTATATTAACCGCATGGGGGGTATTTGCTCTTGCCGCATGTCTCAGCTCGCCCGCCGTCTGCTCCTCTGGAGTCATCCGCGGCTGAAATCGCTGCGTGCCATTTACATTTCAGGCAAGCTCAACCGTGCAGCCGACATGCTCTCACGGCAGCAGTACGACCTGGAGAATGGAAACTCCACCCGAGTCTGTTCAGCTGATATGGGCGCGATTCGGGGAAGCACAGATTGGTCTGTTTGCTTCCCCCGAGATCGCTCATTGCCAGTTGTTCTTTTTCCTGACCGAGGGCTCTCTCGGCACAGATGCACTGGCCCACAGCTGGCCTCGGGGCATGCGCAAATATGCGTTTCCCCCAGTGAGCCTTCTCGCGCAGGTACTGTGCAAGGTCAGAGAGGACAAGAAAAACAGGTTGCTGGTGGCGCTCCTC